ACATTTTATTGTTGGATGTAACTGGGACCCCGTGTACATAATTTCGCTCCACCACATGTACCACATGAGGTGCGAATGACAATAAAGAAACTCTGACTCTGACTCTGAAAAGCGCCCCAAGTCTAGACTGCAAAATGTCAGCATCAAAATGTAGCACACTTGAAGTGGACCAGTTGGAAACAGGCACTAAACATCTACTAGGTTCTGCCAGGAGAATGATGTCACACCAACCGATTACCGACCTGATTATTTTATTGCTTCCCCACACACAATAAAGCATTTAAAAACAACTTATTTACAAATGTGAAAAAATACAAGAAAAAATTAAATAGAGCTCTTTCCCTTTTCTTTGTGAAAAAAAATAAAATAAAATTAAGTTTAATTCTTTAGCAACGTTGCAACCCAGGCAATGTTGTGTATGGAATCTTATCTGTAACCCAAGATGGATTTTCTGGATTGTGAAGGTTCTTCTGCGAAATGATGTCCCGGCTGGCCCCACCGTTTACACCTGTCCACAGTTCGCATGGGCTCGGCTCGCCATCACGATCAAGGAATCCAGAGTCTCTATAAAACCAATCAGCATAAAGTGCAGAAAGTAAATAATTATGTTCCTGTTCAATTATGAGATTCCATGTCCTTTCGCAAGAATACAAATCATTCACATATTTTTCCTTTTAGGTTTTAGCTTAATCAGCTTAAGTTTATGGTGAACTACCATGAAATGCAATAAACAGTAGTTAACTGTTATGTATTTTTAGTGTTAAACCAACAAAATACATTGACAACTTAAATATGCAGTGCATAACTTGTAAATTAATCCAAATCAATGTTAGGGTGCATTCACACTAGCCCTGTTTAGTCCGCTTTAATCGAACTCTAGCTCGTTTTCCTTGAAAGTCCGGTTCATTTAGGGAGGTGTGAACGTGCCATCGAACTCTGTCACAGAACAAAAAAGCGAACTCTGGCCCGGGCTAAAACCTAGGTCTCGGTCCGGTAGAAGTGAACTCCAGTGCAGTTCGAGTGCAGTGCGAATGTAAACAGACCGAGCCCCGCTCCACAGGGTAAACAAACACGCATTGCTCTGACCTTATATGGAGCCGTCAGCTGCCTTGTGTAGAAAAACAATATTCTCCATGGTCTTCTGTCTCATCTTCTGCTCATGCTAAGTCCATTTTTGAAAAATTACAAAATATAACTCCTAAAACTGCTAAAACTTGATGCCACTTCATTTTTATTTACAGAAGAAGAAGACATGTCTTCAGAGGTTTTTGTGTCGTTTCTTTCAGTAGTTCTTGGTGCAGCGCCCCCACAGGCGAGCGGGGGAATAGGTTGGTTCAACAGGTTGACTCGACTGCACAGTGCAGTGTGAATGCAAACGCACCAGCTCAAATGTAAACAAAAGCTCATGAATATTGGTCCTGAACCGAGTCTACCAGACTATCTAGTGTGAAAACGACCTTAGACTGCATAACATATCAGGCATATTAACATTTTACCTTTCTTTTGCTATTAAATGTTGATTAATGAATTTATAACACTTCAACATTTATTATTTTAACCAACAACAACTTATAATAGGTTTAACATGGCTTACTATGAACTGCATGTATTTTAAATGAACCGATATGATTTAGAATACAAAAAGCACATTCTTTGTCATTGTAAAGCTAATTCTAACCTTGTAAAATGACACAGGCCTTTAGCATTAGTGCCTGTGGTTAGTGCTAGCATTAGCTCGATTAGCATTCTTATTTCCTGATGCATGCTCAATAATCCAGGTAGAAAAATCTAAAAAAGTTAAATCTGACTCTCTGGACAGTCAAAAAACAAAACAAACAAAAAAAGTAGAAACATTTCGTCTTTCAGTCTGAGGAGCTGTATTCAGCTCAGTCTTATAAATAGCACCTTCTCATAGTGGATCAACCAGTTTGCTGCTGACAGCCAAAACCAGCTGCTCACATGCTCAAGAAGGACCATCAGCCTAACGATGGATCATTAGCACCCTGATGGCTGTTTACTATTCACAGGAGGCTGAGTATAGTGAACCTGATCTGAACCTGATCTGACCTCAAATCTATCAGATGGACAGAGACTGTTATTTCATTGATCTGAATACAGTTTGAGCCATCTGATGACTTTCTTTCTTGAATTAATCAAGCAGAAAAGACAATTCTCTATAATCATTACTACTTTACAAATGTTTGATAATCAAATTGTGTTAGTTTCACTCAATGCTTACAGGTTGAAGAGAACTACTCATTTTATTTTACATAAACAGTAAGTAATGATTTTTTATTCCTCATTCAAAGAAGAAATCAGGTTAATATGCATTTCTTGATTTTCTGTCTTCAGTGAGCAAGCTTTTGTAAGTATGTGAAAGGTCGAGTCTTGGTCAACTAAAATGTTTACTGAGAAGAAAATGTCATGTTTAACTATTTGAGAAGATAATCAGAGTAGAGACTCCACGAAGTCTGCTGTTTCTCCAATAATCTTTTCTGTCTGTCAAGCAATCTCATTCTCTGACCTCGACTTATCATAACATCTTACATCACAAAACCACACCTCTTCCTGGTCCATCCACGAATCAGAAAGCTCTAAAATTGACCCGGAAGTCAACTCATTTAAAATGTGGCAACTTCCCGGTTCTGTAAGAGTCCAAGAGTCTGAGAGTGATGGAGGTTCTGAAGAAGTTCTAGAGTTGGAGAGTTGCAAGAGGCTGAGACGCTGAGTTGCTGGAGTTTGTTGGTTGCTGTGTTGCTGCACTCAGAAATGAGTTCCACACAGAATGCTGATGAGTTGATGGAGTTAGAGTTCTTGGATGCAACGCGTTCAGGATGATCCAGAGACGTTTTGGGATTATAACTTCTGTTTGAACAACCTCGTACGACTCTCTAAGGGTTTGGCAGTTCTCACGGAGACGCTGAAAGAGTCAGAAAGGAACCTACGCTGACGCTGATTTCATCGTCAACCAGGTAGACGGTTCTATTTTCGACTAAGTGTACCGGAGGCCAGCTGAGATCTGATGGAGCGTGCACGTTTTCTGGTCAAACAGATTAATTCCCTCACAAATCTCTCTGTAAGATAAATCTCCATTTCCATCTTAAACTCTGCTTTCCCTTAAAATCAGTACAGATATTTTAGAAATATCTGAAGCAAAGTCCTCAATCACCGCCGTGTGATTGAAGCCCATTTTTTGTGAAACTTGTCTGTTATTATTTTCATATTTTGCCAAATTAATGTAAATGTTTGATGTTAAACTTTGATTCTGAAAATAAATGACCGCATTCATTTGATGGGTCAAAGATAAATGACGTCTCTCGTTACATTTCTGTTAAGATTCAATGCACGACATTTACACAGTCAGAAAGATGAGGAACTCGTGAAAAGTATGAATATATTTCCCCATATGTCATACTACATGAGTGATATTAGCAATCACAGCATTGTAAGAGGGGGACAGTTGAACCCGGAGGCCTCCACTGTTTAATGATGGACAATTTATTTTCACAAAGATTGCTTTCTTTACTTGTTTCTCAAACCATCGTTCCTCTCTATCAAGGATGTGAACATCTTCATCCCTGAAAGAGTGACCGCTGGCCTGGAGATGAGTGTAGACTGCAGAGTCCTGGCCTGATGATGTTGATCTTCTGTGCTGGGCCATCCTTTTGGCCAGTGGCTGTTCAGTTTCCTCGATGTAAGACTGATCACAGTCCTTCTGACACTGAACAGCATAC